TACAATTTTTCTTACCCTGATTTATATCATTTATGAACTTTTAGGCCATCTCACTCAGTTCCTAGAACAGTAACTATTGCCTCCAAACCTGAAACAACATTATCTCTAAAAGGATACTGCAAAATTTACCCAAAAAAACCAAAAAACCTTAACATAATAAGTAATAAAATCAAGTATGAAGAATGGCTGCAACAGAAATTTATACTTGATCAACAGAAAACTCCAACTGCAGTCTGTGGGCATTTTTAGGAGGTGAGGGGATTATAGCCAAATGATAAACAGCTAAACCCTAGGGGAAGCCACCCCTCTACTTGGAAAACTAACTTTAATTTCCTGTATAAAATCTCTGGGGAAGGTAAAAAGCAGCACCTCCAAACAAAAAGTTGGGGAGAACGCCTGCTCCATATCAGATGTTCTTTACCAAGTTTAATGGCATAGCCTGTTTGGCAACATAATTAGTATTTATATGGAATTCAACTCAGAATGTAATGAAACCATGCTTCTTCCAAAGTACACCCCATTCAGCCATCAACAGACATTTATACAGGATTGATAAGATGTCAAATTCTGTGAGGTACTATGGAAAGCACGACAGAATTTTGAGTACACTATACCCTTCGACTGAAGAGATAAGATCAAAAGACCTCATATTACCCATTTTTGTATGACAATAAAACGGTCCTCCAAAGACTTTAAGAAGGGACTAGCAGTTACCAAAGGGAAGGGGGTGGGTAGGGAGAAGGGGATTAAAGGGCATTATAATTAGCACACATAATGTAGTGGGGTCACGGGGAAGGCATTATAGCACAGAGAAGACAAGTAGTGACTCTATAGCATCTAACTACGCTGATGGACAGTGACTGCAATGGAGTGTGGGGTGGGACTTGATAATATGGGTGAATGTAGTAACCACAATGTTGCTCATGTGAAACCTTCATAAGATTGTATATCAATGATACCTTAATAAAAATAAATAAATAAAACATCCTCCATATATCTCAGTTCATTCATTAACAATTAATGGCAAAACTGTATGTAAATATTATAAATACAATACAATCAGCCCTGTGATTAAAGTAAAAAATTTTCATTTAATAAGGAAAGCCCTTAAATCTGATAATTACTCATCCTCAATATAGGTTGTTTTTTGTGTAGTACCTTCAAGCAGTCTCTTAAAGAGGGTGGTTGGTTTTAAAGGTCTTTCAGAATAGATGACTTGATACCCAGTTCTGCAGTAAACCCAAAACATTGTCAATCTTTGGACTTGCAAGTGCTTTGATGCACCCCTTCCTTTCATTATCTCTATTCAAGCTTGTTGATTTTTTCTTCCAGAATCTCCCATTTGCCTTTTCCTTTTCTTTCTGACTCTCCTCACCTCTTGCCTGGACTTGCACTTCACTTACCAAGTGCTTGTTATCTGCTATGCACAGAGCTAGACCCTCTTTCCTTGCTCTTAGGAAGCTCACATGATACTCAATAGCGCTGTTACCTGCCCATCTTGATCACCAGACTGCAAGCTTTAGCAAAGGCTTTGTATTTCCAGAACCTAGCAGCATGTGGCATACAGCTACTCTAAAATGTTTGTTTTATGAAATCAGATTACCTTAGCAAGTCCTTTTAAATCCATATATATTTTAGTATATGTCTTCAAAAAGACTCTTTTCTTCCTTTTTCAAAATACAGAAACAATATATGCACAATACAGAAACAACATAGAAAGGTAGAAAGTAAAAACTGAATTCTCCAACTCCCTAAATCTCACTTCCAGAAGTGACTACTATTATAGTTTGGAATGTGCCTTTCCAGAACTTTCCTACACTGGTATGTAACACACACACAACACTTACACTTTTGGAACAAGTTCTTTGACAGTTTCTGACACTAGTTTCTCGAATTTCTAATCCAGTTGAAATTCTCAAAGTGCTGTCCTTCATTAGAAGCATCAGCATCATCTAGAAACTTGTCAGAAATACAAATTCTTGAGCCCCATTCCCAACTTGCTGAATCAGAAACTCTGGAGAGGGGGGCTCCCCCACAATCTGGGTTTTAACAGACTCTTCAGTGATTCTAATACACATTAGGTTGAGAACCACTGCTCTAACCCAGTTATGCCACCCTAGGCCAGCCAGTTTTTATTACTGCTCTTAAACATGCCAGGCATTGTTATCTTGCTTTAGTTTTACGACCTGACTTCTAGATGCCTTCCTTTGTTCTTTTGAGCAGTTCTGACCCCACCAATTGTCAAAGCCCAGAAAGTCCTAACTCCTCCCCAAAGTGCTCTCATTGCCACAGCTCAGAGCTCTCTTGCCCCTCCCCCAACTCCTATGACACACCTAGTTTTTCCACCACACAATTTACCAATTAGGTATCTGTCTTCAAAGTTAGAGAACAGTTCTTTACTATTCTCCCAACAGATCATAAGCTCCTTGAAGACATGAATATTTTTGTTATCTCTTCCTCACCCCTGTTGTAAGCACATAAATGGAATTTTTAAAAGCTGCTGGTTAATGTCTTTAAGGATGAATTCACTGAGAGAAATACTGATAAAACTTTAATGGATAAGACCTCTGGAATTTCAACTTGTAGTCCCAGTATTGTGACCTTGGACAAGTTCAGTTCTTAGGATGGGGTCTGTAAAAGCCAGAAAGTTGGACGCAATGACTTGATGCTTCCCTTTAGCTTGACAGTGTATGATTTTATGAAATGTCTCATGATGGAATACCTTATTCCATTATACTCTCATATTGCTTCCCTTGTAATGCTATTATGGAAATTTTAGACCTGAGCTACAGTTAGGTATGATGTTACGTGTTAACTAGTAAGCTCTTACAACATGAACTATGTTTTATTCATTTGGGAACTTTACACCATACCCAGCACTATGCCTTACACCTAATAGCTCAATGCATTTGCAAAAATTTAGAAAAACTCTTTAAAAAGCTTCATTTATGTAAAGAACCCGTGCAAAGACCTGCTGTCTCTCTAAGGGCCCTTTTGAATATTATTGTAAATACTACGAAATGATTCATGGTAGAAATTGTGATTACTCTGATAGCATTAGGAGCAGTCAGCCACATAAGGCAAAAGAATGTAAAATGAATCTCACATGTATTTAGTGATAGACTAAAAGGCCTTAACTCTCAGGCTACCTTATTGGAACATGCAAATAAAACCTGGCCTGTACACTTAAGCAGCATACATCAACTCCACTGTTGGTGATAAACAGGTTTCTTGATGCAGTATTCTTCTCAGCAAATTTTCAGAAGCAACAGGGTGGACTAGAGACCTATGAGTGGCAAGTGGTAACCAGAGCTGAATTTAAGGGAGGGACAGCAAAGAGAAATTGAAGGCAAGAGGAAGAGCAGTAGGACAGCAGGAAACACCACTTAAAAGGAGCAGTGGAAATTCACTGGGTCTTTACTAAAAGCCTATTATGAGCCAAGCACTTTTGGCTACAAAGATGGTCACTGACTTCAAGGGGCTAACATTCCTAAGGGTAATACCAAGTCTCTACCCTAGAGTGAGTGAGTGAGTGAGTGAGTGAGTGAGTGTGTGTGTGTATGACAGACAGACAGACACAGAGAGAGGTTATAATTGGGAAAATCAATCAAGGAAGGCTTCACAGAATAGATGGTGAGTTAAGCTCTTAAGGGTGTAGGAGGATTTGCTAAGGGAGAAAAAAAGAGTTTGAACTAGTTATTCTGGGGAAGAAACATTCACATTTTTACAGCTGTTCCTCTGGAACTTTAAATCATGAATGCTTCTTATTTTCAGCACCACTTTGTCAATGCTTTCTCTTTTTACTTTATCTTAAATACTGAGATGTTTAAGCCCAGTGCTGGAACAGAGCCACAAAGCCCCAGAATGAGGTGAGAGCTCGCCAATTTTGCTCTGTCACCTCTAAATCCATCCAGCCCAGTCCTGCTCTCCTGGCAGCCAGAAAGGAAGGATAATTATATCCTCTGGGGGCAAAATCTGGATGGGCAGACAAATCTTACTCCTGTTCTTCCAGTAAGCCACCAGGAAGAGATTCCCTACCTCCCTAAGCCACGAGGCTCCTAGTCTACCTGCGACAGGGAGGCCAGCTCTGCAGAAAAAAGCCTATGTGAAAAGGAAGGGAGAAGCACTGGATTGAGAAACGTCGGGTTATTAAATGAGATAATCTTACTAAAACGTTTAGCAAAGATCAATAAACCACCCCATGAAGACAAAAAAAAAAAAAGATCAATAGCACACAGCAAGCGTTGGAGGAATGTGAGCTCTTATTAACAGCATTCCTACCACTGTTATTATTACAGTAACACCTCAATTGTACTTCAACAGATGAAAACAGCTTTTGCTGCCTCCTTTTATGAGGCTGAAGAACAACTCCAATTTTTTAAAGGTGCAAGATCAAATTCCAAATGCACTGACCTGAGAGCCCGAGTTCAGGAGCCCGCCCTGCCTCTAGTGAGGCGCATGACCTTGGGAGCAACACTTCGCCTGTGCCTCAGTTTCCCTATCTGTAAAGTGGGGCGAAGAAGCCCCTCCCCTCAAGGTCGGCGTGGGTTCCAGGTTGGGGGTACCTTTTGCTGCACCATGGCCGCACGGGTGCAAGGTGAGCTCACGGCCCATTTTCCAAACCCCCTTGGCTCTCGGGCGTCCCGGGTAGATGAATGCCCGGCCCCGAGGCCCACAGAACTCAGCCGCCTGCAGAGCAGGAGCAGGAATGGGGGTCATGCCTGCGGGGTCTGCGATTGAGGGTGCCGGGCGCCCGCACTCTGTCGCCAGCGGGCTAGCGGAGGGGCCCCCAGCACGGGCGCGAGGAGCGCGGGGAGGCCGGACTGCCCGGGTCCCGCGAGCGGGGACGGTAGATGTCACGGGGAACCAAGAGAAGGCTGGCAACGCGGGCCGGGCCCCGCCGCACCGCGGAGACCAGGCGGGGAAGAAGGCAAGGAGAGCGACGCCCCCACAGGGAGCGCCGCACACCCCTCGCGGGCCGGGCTGAGGCGTTCACTCACCTGAAGTGTTGGCACCCGCCGTCAGTACAGCAGCGGCAGCAGCGGTGGCGGTGGCCAGAGGGGCGGGGGAAGTTCTGCGGCTGCGCAGGCGCGCTGATGCTGTCGGAGCTGCGCAGGCGCTTTGCGCCCACCCGCCCCGGGAACTACCGCAAACATGGGGACTGTACCGGGAGGGGCCGGCGGCGCCATCTTGGATGTAGTTTCTCTGGCTGCGAAGCAGCCTCCGAGAACGTTAAAACTAGAGCAGCCCGGGGGGAGGGGTGTTGAACGCTGCGTTTTGGCCGGTCTCCTCCCCTTCCGCTGGGTCGCATCCTTAGCAAGGACCTAAGAACTCTTGCAGAGGAGAGCATCCTCGTTTTACGTGAGTCCAGAGGCGTATCCAAGGTTAATATGGCGACTCACATATGGCTTAGCACGTGGAAGGGAATTTACAGTAAATTCTTGGTGAATGAACACAGTAATTTGAGAACCAGAATCCAAGACTCAGGGCTCTAATTCCCGGTCTCCCCAGTGTAGCATCTGTTACAACTGCCAGCCATACCATTTCCTTTCTTCGGAACATCATGAGAAATGTAATTTTTTTTCCCAAAATGATTACACACACAAATTAAGCTTGATGACCCAACACCACCACCAAAATGTACAGGGCATAATCCCCTCCTTGAATAAATTTAATCTTATTAAAAGTAAGATATTGTTACCATATTAGGCCAAATGGAATATTACCAAACATCTCAAAGGCAGCAACTGTCCATAACATTCATCAAGCACAATTCCTGCAACAAATTTGGGGAGGGGGAAAACTAATATTAACTGAGCACTGCCTTTTATTACATGTTTATTGATTAATTTACCGAGTGCCAAGTTGGTTCTAGTTCATTCTCTATTACTAATTACTAGTCCTTGGTTAATTAAGCCTCTCCATGCTTAAGTTTCTCATCCACAATGACAAAAAAACATAAGGTATCTAAGGCTGTGGTCTGTGGGTAAAATGCTTAGAACTTAACTATTTTTCTATGCGTTAGCCTGTTAGCTGTTGAAGACAAACACAAATACACTTATCCTTGAATTTAAACAAATTCTTATAAACAAAAATGCAATACAATGTTAATAAATAAAATGAGGGAAGGTACAAATCATCTTTGAAGAGAGGTGATCTATCTTTATTTTACAGATGAGTAAACTGAAGACGAGATAAAGATTCACTACAAAATCTACCTCTTTCCATCATACTACGCTGCTCCTGCAATAGCCAATTAACACCACTCCTCTGATTCTTAAAAGCTCCAGATTTCCTTGGGGCTGTCCAAAGTTTCTCTTCTTACTCTACCCTGGACAATATTATTCTCAAGGTTTCAATAACTAGGTATCAGTAACTTCCAATTTTATTTTTAGTCCAGATTTTTCTACTCAGTTTTCCACACATTTATCAAACAGTCTAGTTGACTTCTCCATTTGGTATCCCAGATTTCCCATCTCATTAACTCCTCTTTTTCCACCCAGTTGTTGAAGCTTTCACCTCCTTCAGTATACTGATACCACTATTCTAAACTTATATTTAATCTAACTCTTAGTGCTTCTGTAACATTGCTCCTATCATTCTCCTAATCTTATAGATAAGAGGTTAAGTAACCTTTTCTTGGTCACACTTAGTAAGTAGCAGTCAGGCTTTTAACAAATGTTACATGCCTACTAACCTCCAGACACTATGAGTAACTCGCCCAACTCATCCACTGCCAACACCTAGCACTGGCCATCACTTCCCATCTAGGCTACTGCAATGGCCTAACTGGCCTTTACAGCCTACATACCTTCCTTCCTTCTATCTATTCTTCACACAACTACAGTGATCTTTTAAAAAGGAAATTTTGATGCTGTCTCCTTTATTTTTAGTTTCTATTAAGGTTTCACATGAGCAACTGTTGTGCCCCGTTTCCTTGAGTCCCCACGTGGAGCCACAGTCACCAAGCTCAGTCGCAAGATGCAAAAACAAAACAGGTCTTTATTGCTAGTTCGGACTAGGGTCCCAGCAGCCCGTCAAAACACAGGACACAATCTGAGACCCTGAACAAAGTTCCCTTTTTGCTTTTATACTGTAGCAAAAAAAACAGGTAGGGGCTTTCTTCCAAGGGGGGGTGGTTTATTGTGACCTTAGCTGATTGGCTGAGGAGGGTTGCTGGGCAGTTTCCATGAGAATGGGCGTGGCTTGAGCGGGAAACTCAAAATGGGGGACACATAACAAAATGGAGTGACAGTTATTCAAAATGGAAGACACAAAATGGAAGCAGGGGTCATGTAGGGGACACAGCTATTCAAGATGGCGGACACAAAATGGAGGCACATAGTTATTCAAAATGGGGGACACAAAATGGAGGCACATAGTTATGTTATTCAAAATGGAGGACACAAAATGGAGGCACATAGTTATTCAAAATGGGGGACACAAAATGGAGGCACATAGTTATGTTATTCAAAATGGAGGACACAAAATGGAGGCGGAGGTCAAGCTAAACTTCCAGGGGTCCCACATAACATTGTGGTTACTACATTCACCCATATTATCAAGTCCTCCCCACACTCCATTGCACTCACTATCCATCAGTGTGATAAGATGCCAGAGTTACTACTTGTCTTCCCCGTGACTCCCCCCACCATGTGTGCCAATCATAACACCCCTCAATCCCTTTCTCCCTCCCTACCCCCCCATCCTCCCCCACCCCTCCCCTTTGGTAACTGCTAGTCCCTTCTTGGAGTCTGTTTCTCCCTCTCTTAAAACCTTCTAATGACTTCAATTATCTTTATCTCAGGTGGTTCTTTCACAGGCATTCAGCATTCCTGCTTTACCAGTCTTTTCCCAGTATCCTAGAATGCTTCATTCTCTCCCTTAGATCTTTGAAAATGCTGCTCCTTTTGCTTCAAATAATTGCCCTATTTAATTCCCTCATCCTCTCAAATCAACCAGAACACCATTTTTAGAGTTGTCTCTTTTTGTTCCTTGTGCCCCACTAGACTATGAGCATAAGAGGTCCCATGTCTGTTTTGTTCTTTGCTCTCTCCCCTAGGGTGTAGTAGGAGCTCTGTCAATACATGAAAGAATAAGGAATATTCTTATTCTTATATCAAAGCAAGGAGATATCACCTCTCACTAACTGGTGTTTAGGCCAAAGTTTCAGATTTAAGATTATGACTAGGTTTTCAAATGAAATGAGTTTTGTCGTATTAGGAAGATCAGAACATAAAAAACATTAACAACATATTAGTTGGTGTTTTATTGGTAATAAATGCTGAGGCATATCTCTCCAATACTGTTCACTTTCAGTATCTTGGCAAAGAGTCCTATTTTCTGCTAAGCTCTTCTTGCCTTTTATTTTTTTTCATACACTCGAAATATAGATAAAGGGAAGGATTTTAATTATGTATAATTTTACAATGCAGATTATTAGCAAATACAAATAATGAAAAGCTGTACTTAACCCCTTCCTACCATGAATCCAGGACTTAGGATGTCAACTCAATATTAAAAGCTAAAATACACTATAGACGTCAGGACATAACAAACAAGTGGTACTTCCTTCAATTTGGTCTTATGAAGTGATACACATATCCACATGATACAAACAATGCTCACAACTCCTCTACTAAAATCACCTTCTGAGTTACACTAGAAAATCAGTCTCATTCCTTTACATGATCAGAAACCAACTTGACCCCTAAAATGTTTCACCGGACTTGATCCTGAATGACTGGATTGTTTCAAAACCTGATAAAAGATTTCTGACCACAAAGGATATTTAAAAGAATGGGCCACTAGTTCTGGAGCTGATTCCAAAACAGAAGTTGCATTTTGCAGATTCTTGGGAAAAGTGTCTATGCAATATTCTTCCAGATGCATAAATTCTGTCAGTTTTAGAAAAAAATCAAAGTCGGCCACTTGTTTATTATGTCCTGATGTCTATAGTATACTTTAGAAAAAAATCAAAGCATAAATTCTGTCACTTTTAGAAAAAAATCAAAGTCAGCCAGTCATCTTTAAAGGCAATAGGGCAAGAACACCAGCTGAGACTGCCACACTGTCACCACATGCCGGGGCGCACTTCCCATCTCTCTCTTCTAGAGCACCTTGTGGCAGAAAAGCTGAATGAAGTCACTGACAAGATCTAGAGCAACGAAGGGGTAGGTGAGTTTTGTAGCTGAAGCTTGAGCAATTTTCGAGCTGGTGAGGGATCTAACTGTTGCATGTTTCTCTTCCCTGCAGAGGAAAAGAGCCAAAAAGTAAATTTCAAATGAATTCTAATAACATTTATTGAAACCTTACTGTATGGACACTGTGCTAGATACTGGAGAACATTACAGTGACAGACAAGAGTCTGTCCTCAAGGAGATGGCAGTCTGGCAGGAAAGCCAGCTGCAATTCTAACCACAATACAATGTGATAAACAAGTAGATGAAGGTATGTAGTAGCAAATAATTTAGGGCTAAAGGAGGTCAGGAAAAGCAGTGCAGATGTAATGTCAATTTCATTTAGTGGATTCTTGAATGAAGAAGGGAAGTGAGGCAATAGATAGCTCTTCAGTCTTGGGTTTACTGAAACAACAGCATGGTTCATGGGGATTTCTCAGGTTTCTTTGCTTCTGTAGAATTTACATCTAGAAATTTCCCACAGCTTTGAATAGTTATTGTGAGGGGAAAAACAATCACCTGATACAGGCCTTACCCTCTGAGACCATACTCTTGAAGGATGTATCCAGTGGCCTAGCAGATGGAAACCAGAGCAAGCTCCCATCCCCTCAAGAGATAGGCTTACCAAGCTGCACCGACACCTTCTGGAGGCACTGGGTACTTTCGTCCATGAAGGCATGCAGCTGCTTCAATGATCCCTGCAGTTCATCCATCTGCGGATGATAAGCTGTGAGGGTCCATAGCTTCTTTGATGTTACTCAAATAAGCAAGGCAGCCTCCTGCTCAGGGGCTTTGCTTTTGCTGTTCTTTCAACCTGGAATGCTCATGCTAGACATTTTCTGTTTAGCCCTCTAGAGTCACACTCCACTCTTCTCCGTGCTGTTCTATACCCCAGAAGGCTGACCTGGGCAACCTCTAAGAGGATCCCATGTCCTTTGGCTTCTGAGTGGGTATGACCAAGAGGGAGCCCAAGTGGGGGGGAGGTGAATGAGGTCAGGGTATTTTTACCCAGGCTTGCTCCTGGAGGCTTCATAATGAGTTAGTTGTGTCTCTCAAAGCAACCCATATGTGACTTCCTCCCCCCCACCCCCGCCCCGGGGCCACAGTCACTGTTCCTCCCCTCTTCCCTTCAGGCCTACCTATACTTAAGAGCTCAAGCTGCCTCTAAGTCCCAGGTTACTTCACTAACCCTTGTGTTTTTATGATACCCACACTTGTACCTAGCCCTTTTGTAAATAAATTCTCCTTGAATTGCTCTTTAACAAGTACCATTTGCTTCCTGTTGAAACATGGAATGATACAGTATTATTCTCCCAATTGCCCTCATAGCTCACTTCCTCATTTCAAGTCTCTGCAAAAATAGCATCTTAGGCAAACCTTCAACAACTGCTCCATACAGTAACCTGCTGCCCTTGTACACTCTCTCCCTTACTCTGCTTTATTAGCATTTATCACCATATATTTCTTTTTTATTGTCTCTCCAGGTTTCCCTAAGGGAGAATTGAATATACTTACCTTATTACACATATTATCCAGGTATTTTAATTTCCAAGGACAAAAGGTAGCAAAGTTGAATAACTCAACCAAATAAACATTTGTCAACTCACCACCAACTCCATGTAATCAAAGACTTTGTTTTGGTTCTGTACTATCTTCTGGTAGTCAGGCTTGGAATTAAGGACTTCCCTCTGGGAAGACCCAAGATATGTCATAGGTTCCACCTCAATTTCAGTAATTTTGGTTTCATTTGATCCTCTAAAAACAAAACAAAAGAGCTTTCAAGGAATTCTATAATCATTTTCTGGGGAAGATAGAAAAGATTTCCTAGGGAAAACCTCTAGTAAGGCTTTATTAACTATACCAATATTCTTCCACACTATTGTAGGTAGAGGCTCTCTTATTAACAAGGGGGTCTGAAATGAGTATTAACATTTTTATACCACTGGACTCCAAGAAATGCTAGAAGATTCAGGTCAGTTGACTCCATCTAACAGTAAGATCCATTTACAAAAAGGACTATACCTCGGGGTAGAGTAAAGCCAAAGTTTACTATCCTGAACTCTGTGATCTTTTACCAAAAAGAATCTGGGCTACTTCAGTTATCTAAAATAACTTGATACAATGGAGAGTTGATGAAAACTGATGAGGACTCTTTAATAACAACTACTACAATTTACTGAAAGCCAGATAATACTAAGCACTTTCCATTTGGTCTCATTTGACACTCAGTAAGGTAGGTACTAATATTATCCCCATTTTCAAACAAGGAACTCCTGGTTTAGTGATTAAGTGCCTTGTCTAAGGTCACAGAATAAAGGAGTAAAGTAATCAAGATCTCAACAGAGACAGTCTGCTTCCAGAAGCATTCCTCTTAACCAGAACCTATGCCACACCAAAAGTTTTTATTCTGAAACTGCCATCTTATATAATATCTATCTTCATAAACAGCCCATATTAAGTGGTGAATAAAGTAACTGATAACCGTCAGTGTCTGGATTGGGAAATTTTTTAAACTCTCTTCCTCAAAGCACCTCTCTAAGATAGTACTATTGCAGTTAAGGTTTCGGCTAACATTTTATAGTTGAGTTTCCAGCTAAGATTCTCTTTGGGAAAAAAAGCTTAAAATCACAGTCTTGGGTGGCCTACAAAATAAAAACCGAGCACTTTCCCATACACTTAAAACCCAGACAAAGGTCCCCTCTCTCTTGTATATCCTCTTCAATCACCCATTTCCCTGTCTCTGCATTTCCATAAAGGCCCTGAGCACAGTTCTCTCCCACACCTGAAGTTCAAAGGACATGTGGCTCACTGAAGTCATCTAACTATTATTTTTGGCTAAACCTCAAGTTGCCAGGTACAAGGCAGAGATGTGCTTGTCTTCCCCAGATGTGAAATGGCAGCCAAGGACACAGAACAGAGGCGATTCTATTCTTTGACTGAAAACAGAGATTCCAACTCTCTCTTCCTGTCCCCAACTCTCCATTTACAATCAGATAGCACTAATATGCATGTTCCAGAGTTTTAAGAGTTGATCAGCCTGTGAGAAAGGAGCCATCATTCAATTTGTGCTAACAGAAGTGAAATCAATTTAAATCAAATCCAACAAGGTAAAAAGATAGCTTGTTGGATAAGGAGGAGCCAAGATGGTGGCGTGAGAAGAGCAGGGGAAATCTCCCAAAACCATATATATTTTTGAAAATACAACAAATACAACTATTCCTAAAATAGAGACCAGAAGACACAGTACAACAGCCAGGCTACATCTATACCTGCGAGAACCCAGCGCCTCACGAAAGGGGTAAGATACAAGCCACGTACCACAGTGGGACCCGAGCGTGCCCACCACCCCAGCTCCCTGGCTGAAGAAGAGGAGTTAGAGCCCGGAGGCAGTGGGAGCCCAGGAGTGCTAAATAGCCAGCCCTAGTCTTCTGCACCGGGAGCGCAGACACACAGTGCATGGTGTGCTGGATAATAGGGAAATACAACAGTAAAAACTGCAAGCAGGTTCCCACAGCTGGCACCCCTGGGACAAAAGAAAAGTGAGTGCTTTTTGAAAGTCTTAAAGGGACAGAAGCCTCACAGCTGGAAGGAAGCGTCCGGGCACACTCAGCCCAGCAGCTGGAAATCCCAGGGAACACCAGGCACCCTAACCCCCTGGGTGACAGTGCAGTTCTGAGGCCCCTCACGGCGATAAACAGCCTCCCGCCCATTCCCCTTCCAGCGCAGCCCCGCCATAGCAGAGCAGCCGCCTGAGACTGGCCATGCCCACAGCAGCAGCGCAGAGCCTTCTCTGCAGCCACCCAGGCCAGACTCAGATGACCCATTGGCACGCAGCTGCCCAGCACAAGCACTAGGAATTGTTGTTCTCACAGGAAGGAAAGGCGACAGCCAAGCAGGAAGGGAGTTTGTTCTCCCAGCTGACACATGCGCCAACTACCTACGACTATCTCTATCACGACGAAAAGGCAGAATTTGAAACAGACCAGAATAACCCAGACATCCCCTGAGAGGGAACCTGGGGAGAAAGATTTAATAAATCTTCCTGAAATATAATTCACAATAAAGATCATAACCATGCTGATGAAGATGCAGAGAAAAATGCAAGAGCTAATAGATAAAGCTGGGAGGGAGAATACAGAAATCAAACAATCTCTGGAAGGACTTAAAAGCAGAATGGACGAGGTGGAAGAGGCCATTAATGGAATAGAAAACACAGAAGAGGAACCCAAAGAAGCTGATGCACAGAGAGATAAAAGGATCTCCAGGAATGAAAGAATATTAAGGGAACTGTGTGACCAATCCAAACAAAACAATATCCGCATTATAGGGGTACCAGAAGAAGAAGAGAGAGAAAAAGGGATAGAAAGTGTATTTGAAGAAATAATTGCTAAAAACTTCCCAAAACTGGGGGAGGAAATAGTCGCTCAGACCACAGAAGCACACAGAACTCCCAACAGAAGGGACCCAAGGAGGACAACACCAAGACACATAATAATTAAAATGGCAAAGATCAAGGACAAGGACAGAGTATTAAAGGAAGCCAGGGAGAGAAAAAAGGTCATCTACAAAGGAAAACCCATCAGGCTATCATCAGACTTCTCAACAGAAACCTTACAGGCCAGAAGAGAATGGCATGATATATTTAATGCAATGAAACAGGAGGGCCTTGAACCAGGAATACTGTATCCAGCACAATTATCATTTAAATATGAAGGAGGGATTAAACAATTCCCAGACAAGCAAAAGGTAAGGGAATGTGCCTCCGACAAACCACCTCTACAGGGTATTTTAGAGGGACCGCTCTAGATGGGAGCACTCCTAAGAGTAAATAGATGTCACCAGAGAAAATAAAATCACAGCAAAGAAAGCAAACCAACCAAATACTAACTAAAGGCAAAAAATAAAATCAACTACCCACAAAAGCAGTCAAAGGAAACACAAAAGAGCACAAAATAAAACACCTAACATATAAAGAATGGAGGCGGAGGAATAAGAAGGGAAATAAATAATCATCAGACTGTGTTTATAATAGCTCAATAAGCGAGTTAAGTTAGATGGTAAGATAGTAAAGAAGCTAACCTTGAACCTTTGCTAACCACAAATCTAAAGCCTGAAATGGCAATAAGTACATATCTTT